TGGCAGGCAGATTGTTTACCATTAAGACACCAGGGAAGCCCTCTGCTTCATTTTAAGTCTTAGAACTCTCCATCCTGACTGATGGCTGGGATCCCCCTGCAAGGAAGGGGGATGGATAAGAGCAGCTCTGCCCTCAGAGAGAGAGGTCACTTCTCAGCACCTGTTTATATGGTTTTGGAAAATACACTTCTTGAGTCACCTGCCCAAAACCTGGGCAGTCATTGGCCACTGGGATAGAATACGGCTGCAGCCAGGCAAGCCAGAGTGCTGCCCAAAGTTAACTAGAGTGTACCAGGATTCCAGGCCCCAGAAGAGGATGAATGGACTGGACACACACTGCAAGACTCCACAACCCCATTTTAATTTACAGAGAGGAAACTAAAGCTCAAAAAAGTTTAATTTGTCAAAAACTGACAAATTAACTGCAAAGAGCTGGACACGACTGAGCGACTGAACTGAACTGATGCAATAGTAAAATGGCTAATAATCCAAATGAGATATGCCTTTTGTGATCTTAATTTTTTCAGACCCTCAACCTTTCCAGCATTAGTTTGTGACTAATGCCAGTAAGGACTTTGAGGTATCTGAATAAATTAACTGACTTATACAGGGATGAAAACAGCATAATTAACAGTAGTATAACACAGAACACTTCATGTCTAGGGAGATGGAGGAGTTCACACCCAATCCTGCCACCTGGTGGGACTGTGGTCTCAAAATAGCTTAGAGCGAGTGTGGAGCAGCATGCTAAATAGATAAACGTAGAAGACACAAGGAAGGCACCAGACACAGCTCACCTGTCACCAGCACAACACTGACTGTGCCAGAGTAGGTGGTTTCTCATTGCTTCCATCAGGAAAGCTCTCAACAAGGCAAACGAGTGACATATAACACCCATAATCAGGCATGACTCAAAGATGGGACCTAACTGATGTTCAGTTCAGTCCAGTCTCTTAGTCATGTCCTAGTCTTTGTGACCCCATGGACTGGAGCACACCAGTCTTCCCTGTCCATCGCCAACTCCTGGAGCTTGCTCAAACTCACGTCCATCGAGTCGGTGATGTCAACCAACCATCTCATCCTCTATCATCCCCTTTTCCTCCTGTCTTCAGTCTTTCCCAGTATCAGTCTCTTTTTCAATTAGTCAAGTTTTTCACATCAGGTGGCCAAAGTATTGGAGTTTCAGCTTCAGCATCAGTCCTTCCAGTGAATATTCAGGACTGATTTCCTTTAGGATGGACTGGGTTGATCTCCTTGCAGTCCAAGGGACTCTCAAGAGTCTTCTCCAACACCACAGTTCAAAAGCATCAATGCTTCAGTGCTCAGCTTTCTTTAT